AGCTCTGTCGTATGGAGTCTCCCTACGCTCCATGAAACCTTTGAGAAAGGTCTTGCTGAAGGATCAGGATGAAGTCAGGCAGCCACCACCCTGCTTCCTCTCTGTGGACCCATCTGCTGACTGCTGGCTGCAGGCAGCACTCTCTCCACTGAGAGAGTGGATCCTGAAAACCACTTTGACCCACTTCACGGAAGGTGCTAGAAAGGATCAGAGATGGGACACCACAGGAAACCTCTGCCGTCCCTGAGGTCCGCTCCTCAACTCACAGGCAAGAATGTGAGCCCTGAGGGACACCATGTGGCCTGTCCAAGGTCACAAAGTTTACCAAGTGGCAGAGTTGGGACCACGACCGGGGACCCGCACAGGTGACCTGGTGCTCCTTCTGCTGTAACTTGTTTCCAGCTCAGGACTCGCTCCTGAGCCTTTCATGCTGCAAATACAACCAAAGGGATGTATCGCCTACATTTCAGCAGAGAAAACCCACAGCAGAGCTCTGGGCGAGGGTAATGGTTGTGGGCAGGGGGCGACCCACAACAGTCTTCCCAGGAAAGTAAATGCATGGAGCCAATCTGGGACCTGGGAAACTGACATCCCACAGAGCAGGTCACCTAGCATCCCACAGAGCAGGTCACCTAAAGGGCATAATTTGCTCCCTGCACGTTTTGCACCAGCAGCATATCTGTGCACTCACAGAAACAACGTGCATCCAACAGCAAAAGAGCTGGTTTCCTTTCCCCCGTTTGCTCTCGGGCCGGCGTGAGCACGGCCCTGCCCTGGGCTCTGAGAAGGCCTGGAAGGGCTTCTTTCCATTTCATTAGCTCATGTCAGAAGTGAGTGGGAATAAAAATCTGTTACGCGTGTTATGGAATTTAACTCCACCCCTGCATCCTACGGAAGTAGACTGGCTAATAATTTGTGGCCCCACAATGGGGTGACCAAGTGGAGAGCAGAGGGAGGGCCAGGAAGGCCGGCAGGATGTGGGGAACCAGGCAGGTCTGCATCACTTGATCAAGTTGCTTTGCAAGAAGATTTGGGATGTGTGGTTTGACCTCAGGATGGGCTGTCTGTGGTTGAGGGAACTTCAGTGAACTCCAGCCGAGTCCAGTGCCGGACTCCGGGAGATGGATAAGAAAGACATGCTTGCAGGTGGGGCCGTGTGCCTGGGCCTAAGTGGTCAGCAGGCTCAGAGCTGTAAAGGCAGTAGCTTCTCTCCGGGCAAAAACTCTGTGGGGAGCTTGGAGGCCCATCAAGACTAAGAAGGCCGAAATGGGGCTGACGTGGGAGGTGAGACGGGCGGCAGCTCGTAGTAACTCAGCAGAAGGCGTGACTTGAATAGCAGCAGCGATGGCAGATGTAGCTGAGGGACGACCCGTCCAGGGAGCAGAGGAAGGGTCAGACCGCAGGTGGGAAATGTCTTTAATCAGGAATCACTGACTCTTTAAAATAAGGTGATGGGTAATAAAGTAAACTAGTTCTAAGTTCGATGGGTGTGAACATGTGTGTGTGTGTGTGTTGGGGGGGTGGCTAGGAGTTTGGAAAAGGGAAAAAATTGAAAATGCTTTACTCTTTTAATTGTAAAAATAAGAGACATTATTTAATGAAAAAATTAAAAAATGTATTTCATATACATAGGGACCGTCGCAGAGACAGGCAGAGGGTACAGCGGGAGACACCTGTCAGCTGGCCACTCCTAAGGGCTCCGAAAAAGCCACACTCATCTGCTTGGCCCCATCCTGGGTCCCTTTGAAACAAAGGGTCTGTCCTCTTCTGGTGCTCGGCGAGGTTTCTATTGCACAAGAACTGAAGCACTCTCTACCCCCTGAAACTGCTAACATACTGAAACCGTCTCTAGCAGCCTTAATGGCATTTAAGACAAATACTGTGAATTGATGAAATGACCAATTATGTTAAGTACCCATGCCTGGTGTAATCCAAACCAAATCTTACCCCATTATCCTCAAAACTGCGAGATGATTCAGCAGGCCCCCTTGCCAGTGATTCTGGAAGAACCAAAACACAGAGGCCGCCCTTGATGGGACCTTCGGTGCTTCCAGTTAATTCTTGCAATTGGGTTTATGCTGGAAAAAAATAACTGTACTATGTTTCTGCTCAACAGCTTATAAACAAGACAAGTGTTAGACGATACGCAGAGATTCCCCACGGCAACCAGTACGCCACTTTGTTTCTTTGATCCAGGTTTTAACTTCCATTATCCTCTCTTTGGAAATCACAGCATTCTTCTGACACACATCTTGGGGTGCATGTCAATATCCCAAAGTGCCCGAGAGCCCCTCATTTTCTGCACCCACCCCTAGCGTTCCCATCGCTCGCTCCGTGGTCCTCTCGTGCCCATGAGCCCTTGTTGTCCGCCCTCTTTCTGTGTCTACCTGCCCCCACCCACCTATATTTCAAGACCTTGCGCACGCAAGTGTCAATTCTCCCAAGAAGTCACAGCCACCACACTCTCTCCCTCCTGACAAAAACGAGGTCTTGTCCTCCAAGCAATGTGGCACATCCATCCGTGTATTTTGCTGCTTCTGGACTGTTTTAGTCTCAGCCCCCAGGGCGACTCCGTGAGAGCAAGTTCTCCCTGGCCCCACTGCAGCCTGGTTTAACCAGTTCTGCTGGTGCTCAGGGCCCAGGGTCAGGCTTGGCTCTGCTGGCCTGGCGCTGGGTTCCTGCATCACCATGGGTGACCACGCTTCACCTTCTACCTCGCTTCCAGGCACTGGGTTCTTTCCAGCATCCTGCTGGCCTTCAATCCCAATCCTTGTGGCTGGAACCTATTAAGAGAGTTCTTTCCTAGTCTGATTATCTAGAAAAACATCTTCCTGCTTGCTACAGAGATAAAGAAGGAATGGGTCCGTATACAAAGGATAAAGATGAGAAAGTGAGCATGAAGTGAGAATAAATCAGGTTCCTTTTTTCTACTTGATTCTAGCTGATAGCTTCTGCGGGCACGATGGGGCAGCTCCCTTCTTTCTATGCCTTTATCTTTATTGTTGAACTTTTGTTCACGGGCATCAGCAACTTCATCAGTAACACTCACCAAAGAAATACAAAAATATTAATTAGGAAGAACATGCATACCGTTTAAAAAACTTCATCAAGATATGTGTCTCGAGAACTCTCTATACATATATAGCCAACGAAGAAACATCACAGGAAAAAAACCACGAACAAATCCTCACCCACACTTCCAAATTCTCCCCAAGATCCTTCTTCCACTTGCACCAAAAAAATAAATAAATGGGCTGTACTGAAGTGAACGTGGATTCAATGAGCATCTGAAATCTGTAATAATTTAATTCTCAATGCCTAGAGTAATTAGGAGAACACTTAACCCTATGAAGATGAGAAAAACAGTCGACCACCCATGAGACAGAATGAGCGAAACCACTCAACTTCAGAAACCTTATCAAGTTTCCCTCATGCCTCTGCCCCGCAGAAATAACCCAAAACTAACACGCTTAGAGCAAATCATCTCTAATGTGGAACTTAATGAATAAAAATCCTATAAGAAAATGCTCTAAGTAAATAAAATCCCTTTTGTGAAAATAATCCAACCATGAATGATGTCCATATCACCGCCGCAGATCTACAGCAGAAATAAAGATGCACATAACTTCACAATTCGCTGGGAAAAACACCCAAAGGCGCATCATAATTGGTTTCCATTTACACTTTCTGAAGGGAGAACGGAACAGACTTTTTAAAAATTATGTATTAATTTTTGAGAATGGAGGGAGTTCCTTTTTTTTTGCTTTAAATATTTAGGATATCTAGGTTGGTCATTAAAATTAGGATTAATCAGAACTGCCAGCCTAAATCTCACCTGTACCAAGCAAAAAATGCAAAGAAATCCTTAATTTACCAATTTCACAGGCTATTAAAAAGATAGCATGCAACTGTATGGCCTTTAAAACAATAGCAAAAAAAAAAAAAACCCCAAAAAACGTGAGGACGTGTCTCACAATTGTTTGAGCTGCTCTGGAAACCTGAAGATAAATGCCTCTCTTCTCAGCTACAATTATTTTCAACTCCTTCACACGCACACCCGGCCCGCAGGAAAAGAGGCTTAACCGCTCCAAACCAACCAAAACGCACTGAAACTCCTCCCACTTGGCACAGCATGGGTCCTAAACCCTTGGTTACAACCAAAGCCATCTGCTTGGGCCAGTTATGCGGCTCAGAGGCTGACAGGGAAGGGAAGCTGGAAGACCCTTGGGAGCCAGCCGATTCCAGCCAATCCGCAGAGCAGACACCCAAAATAGCCATCACCCCAATGTAATTTCTCAAAGAATTTAGAATGCATCTTACTGCTGTTTTCAGCCACTTATTCTTCTTTGATGTGGGCCATTTTTAAAGAAACTTGATAGCAAAAGTAGAGATGACAGGCAGTTTGAAATCCTTGAGTGCCCTGGATAGGAAGCCGTAGAAGGCAGCTGAGGGTGGGCTGCGCCTCAGGAAGGAAGTCCCCCTGCAAACGATGCTGGTAGGGGTGAGGGAGGGGTGTTCTGAGCCTCAAAACAGGCAACAGTGACCCTTCCAGGCGCATGCGGATGTCGGGGGACAGCCAAGAACCAGTGGACTTCCACGATGACCCAAGTGCCAGAACACCCACAACATTCCCCACAGCCCAGGCACTGGGAATATGGTACGGGGTTTGTTTTTTCTTTATCAGCCCAGTTTACACTATCTTTGCATCTTAACTTCTACATGATTCCAATGCCACCAAAGCAAGCCAAACACTTCCAGAATATGACGAGTGACGACAGACCAAAGAAGCAGTCTGGTTTCAGGCTAACAATTCACAGCAACCAGAAGACGTGAGTAGGAAGAAACACAGAGAACTGGACGAACAGACCCAACCCACAACACTCACGCTTCTCCAGAGCGCCCACTCGGCAACAGGACAGAACTCTCCCGATGGACACCAAGTACGGGGCGGGGGTGGGGTGGGGGAGTGGGGATGGAGACAGGGGCTGCTAGAGACCTACCTTGTAGAAGGGCTCCGTTTCTCTTGAAGAAGGTACTGCCCGGCCAGATGGGTGGACCTGATGTGCTGAAACAGAAGAGAAGCCAGCGTGAGGGCAGGCTCGTCTACACCCATGCACCAGCGCTCAGACCACCCCTTCTCCAAATACATCCTTCAAAATGGCCTCAAAACACGTTCCCAGTTATGCATTGTACACCCTCTGAAAGTGCAGCTTTAAAACCATTAGGCTTGTTTTATGATGAATGGGCTTCATCTTTGAAAGTGCAGGACCCGTCCGTGTGGGTGTCTGGTCACTGTCTTGACCCTGCTTCCTGATGGGCATTGAAGTCATTTGCAGGTAAACAAAACTGCAACATTGGTTCACCAAATCCTTAATATACAGATATGACCTTGATCGACTCCCTCCCTCCTCCATCCCCTTGTTTCGTATCCTGTTTTAAATTTCTTGGCTTAAAATGTTGCACTCTGTATCCTATAAAACATTTTGCAGATATGTTACCACCCACAGTCTGGTAACAAGAGAGGCAAGAAAAGAAGAAAGATCGATATATCACAAAGACAGTTTACTACATCTATAGACAAGCATTTTCACTGTTTTAAGACACCCAGCGAAAAACTTTATTACCAAGCCAGTCTTAGGAAAATATCCTTGGAGTGGAAAGGAGGTGATTCTAAATCAAGAATTGGTTTAGATTAATGTTAGAGGGCACTTCGTCAAAACTGTTACTGCCTCCAGCCCAAGAGGAAGTATAAATTACTTTCTCCAAAAGAAAACGTGGCAAACAATACTGGTTAATGCATTATCAATCATCTTCAACAGTGAAAAATTAAAAAGTTGGTCTGAATCAGACATTTGTAAGTTTGGCAGACCGGGAGACACATGTACACACAGAATAAAAAATCTGAACGACTATACACTGAATGTTCCAGAGTCAACCAGGGTCTCCAGGAACGCAGGACAGCAGCATTGCTAACGAGGAGGGATGTCGGCGACATGTTCTGCTCACCAACATTTCCTCCGCAGAGGTCCGAACAGCACCGCAGGGATGGGGACACGTGACATGATGTGGGAGGAGCAGCGAGAAAGGAAGAAAGGTACTAGTGCGTAAGAGTGCTGTCAGACATCAAAATAACGTCGAAATTGTTAGAAAACCCACGGTATGAACCTCGATGCAGGTGGAACTTTCTGTTTTTATTTTGGTTTGGATCCACTCCAGTCAGAGGAAGTGAGAATAATGCATCTCAGCTTTAGGCTCTCCCTGCAGCCCTGACTCTGCTCTGGCAGGTGGGGCCCCTCTGTGACCGGGAGTCCGAGCGAGACGACGGTAGGTCTGGCTGGTGCCTGAGGGCTGCGGGGTGATGGCTGCAAGTCCATTTTCCTTCTATCCTATTCAGCTTTGAGGCTGTTAAGGCTCAAAGTTGTGTGAAGAATAACGTACATTAAAATGCTTAAGATTATCTTTTAACAACCCTGGCCAGCCCCTGGGATTTTTTTTTTTAACCATCTTATTTTTATAAGAAAGCAGGAAACAGCAAGCTGGCTGTTGCCAATACTGAATCACCTGATTTCTAAAGATATTTAAAAACTGAGGACTTCATTATAGAGGAGCTGGTGCTTCTAGAGAATTCAATAATTGAGTATTACTGCAGGAGCCTGAATATCCAGCTTACTTCCACCCAAAGCTCCTCTTTATCCTGACCCCGATTTGGCTGAAAACTGAGTAGACGCCAGGGATGGAGTAAATGTGGGGAATCGAGGGCGGGTAAATCCAGTGGTTTAGATAAGGGAAATTCTCTCTGTGATAAAAATCTACTTAAAGATTTCTGCAGCGTCCTTTTAACGTACCCAAGTCACTGATCACTATTCTGCTCGGTCTGCTGTGTCGCTGGTATAAGCTATACTCCAACACTGGAGAGCGATCTGGACCAGCCCAGCCACCTGCTCTTATGTGGCCCCTGTTGTGGGTGATGAATTCACCTGTGGTCAATTTTTAGCTCAAGGTAAGCTGGTTTCTGCCACGCTAATTGCAAAGCTTTTAAGCTCCTTGGTGCCATATTCTACATCCTTCTTTGGGATGGTCCCTCAAAATGGTATCTCCTTATTAGGAGAGTCAAAGCTTTATGAAGTGCTTATTGAGAACTGTGCTTAGACATGGAGGGAAAAATCAAAAGTCATATTTTATGGCCTCTAGGAGCTTACTGTCATACTTAGCTAGCTCCAACCTCCTATGACTATATCTCAAGAGACTAGAAATGCATGTAGAAATGACAATGGTTATGGCTCCAGGGGCTGCAGATTGGGGAAGCAGCAAACTAATTTTTTCCCTCCATCTGGAGATGTCTTTGGCTACTTGGCCTTTAAAGCTCAAAGTTAGCTTTAAAAAAAGTATATGAAATTATTTACAAGTGTATATCAACCACTGTAATTCAGAGAAGCAGCTACTGGTTGAGGCCTCTGTGGGAGGATCTCAGGCCACCCTGGATACCACTCATCCATGTGGCAAATCGAGGAGGGGAGGGTGGGGCGGCATCTACAGAGAATGGGGGACTCTCCACACTCAAGTCACCTAAATGCCAGTGAAGTGGCTACTGGGGCCCCTTCAACCCACCGGAGTGGGTTTAATCACCTTATGAAGGTGCTCACGCTGCTTGACGACAGGATGCCAAAGCACCATGTACAGAGCACAGCCACCAACACTGCTCCACGGGACCCGCCGATCCTGCAGGCAGGCCAGGCAGGACCCGCCTTCCCCACTTTGTCAGTGAGGAGCTGGGAGGCCTGCAAGTTGGAGAGACCTGTCCAAAGCTGGTCAGCAATCAGTTTAAGGCCAGCCCGCCGTACCACAGAGACACACGTCAACGACCCCGATTTCATTCCTCATCGTCCAGCTTTCTCTGCCAGTCTTCCTTCCGGCACCAAACTTTCAGCCTTCCTCCTCCGTGGAAGAGGGCTGCAGACGGTGCTTCACCAGGAATCTCTCCAAGGCAAAACCCCAGGCTAGAAAAAGCAATCAGGCTCACCATGTGCGAAAGACAGATAGTGGGCCCCATAAGCAGAAACAATACAAGGCTGGCGCCACAAATGTCTCATTTCAATAACGCTCTAACAAAATCATGCGACCTTTGGTACCAGGAACCAAACCCACTTGAGACAAAGGAAGTTGGCCTCAGGTTAAGAGGGTCTTGCTTGCCAGAAAAGGCAGTCTGTGAACTGGCATTTGAGAACATCGATCCAGCTAATCATTAAGACCAGAGTTGAGCGGAGGGAGTCGGAGGGGTGGGTGGAGGGAAACAGCTCAGTGGCAGAGCGCATGCTTAGCATGCCCAAGGTCCTGGGTTCAACTTCCAGTGCCTCCACTTAAAAAAACAAACAAACAAACAAAAGACTAGAGCTGAGCCAGCAAGTCCCCAGGTTGCACCTACCCACCCAAACAGCACATCCAGCGTCTCCCTGGGCCTCCCACTCTCAGCTGCTTCACTTCCACCTCCCATGAGGGACTCTGTAAGTTAACAGGTTGTCCAGCCCGAAGGTGGCTCTTGGCATAATGATGTGATCTGTCACATGTTCTCCCTACACCACGAGCTTTCATCATTGTGAGAGCCGGCTCAATGTCACCAAGACTCTGGGAGGTTCTGGCAAGATCTGCGCTTGTATTCACCAGCCTGGACTTCCTGTGAGTCTAAGGAAAGAAAATTAAGACAAGCTCCTTTTTTCTAAGTACTTTTAAAAAAGTACTTTTTTCTAAGAACAGCTGCCAAATGTGAATTGGTGGATCTAAAAGACAGAACAGGACACCACACCGCGGATGAACCTGGAGGACATTGTGCTCAGTGAAATAAGCCAGTCACAAAAGAACAAATACTGCACTTGACTAGAGCGGTCAAGTTCACAGAGACAAAGCGGAATGAGAGTTGCCAGAGGCTGGAGGGAGGGGGAGCAGGGAACTGTTTAATGGGTAGAGGGTTGCAGTGCTGTAAGAGGAAAAGAGTTGTGGAGACTGGTTACCCAACACTGTAAATGTGCTGAACACTCCTGAACTGTACATCTCAATGGTTAAGATGATATATTTTATGTTATGTGTATTTTGCCACAGCAGAACTTTTTTAATGTGCAATGAGAGAGGGAGAGAGAATGAATGCATGCAGGAAGGACCCCCAGTAGTGAATCAAAATCTAAAGAATTTTGGGCAGTGAAAGGCCAACCTAAGTGTTGTCTCTGAAGGTCCCCTGCTGTTAGCATCTCCGCCAGAGTGGCCTCCAGCACATCAAGAACCAGAAGCCCAAACCGCCTGGGCAAAGGACAGGGATGTGGCGAGACCAGCCTATCCTAACCCAGTACTTACGGACGCCAAAGCGCGCCTGCTAGTCTTCAGGCAGCTGAGCAGATTCCTGCCATAGTCTTAGTGCTGGGAACAGTACGAAGGAAAAACTAATAGAATTTCAAAGAGAGAGATGAATCCACTCTCATAGTTAGAGACTTGAACACCCTTTTCTCAGAAGTGGGCAGATCCAGGAGGCAGAAAATCAGTGAGGACAGAGTTGAACTCGGCAACGCCATCAACCAGCTGGATGCAATGGACATCTGAAGCCTACTGCGTCCAACAGCAGCAGATGACATCTTCTTCTCACACTCACGTGCAACAGTCACCAAGACAGACCACACCCTGGGCCATAAAATGTGTTTAATAAACTTAAAAGAATACAAATCATGCAAGGCAACCCTGTTAGACCCGTGACAGCTACCATCAGACTGTGTTTCCCCAGGAATAAAACAGCCAAAGTAGTTGTAATGAAGGGAGAATTTCTATTAAAAAAAAAAACAACTTGGAATTCTACTGTCAGTTCTGTGGACTGATCACCAGGGTATCATAGAAAACCACACATCACCTGCACCACATACTAACACAGGCCCGTTGGGTGAAGGACGCCAGTCTTTGAAGCCTGGAATGCAGGCATCAGGGAGACCTGTGTGAGATGGCTTCGAGTTCCACAAAGCATCCTTCATAACTTGAGGGGCATCACTCCTTAACTCAAGAACCCAGGTGAAAGTTCACAATTCTCAGGGA